CTTGTTGCAGCAGCAGCCATCTGGTCACCAGCAGCAGCAGCAGCAGCAGCAGCAGCAGCGAAGAGGTGTCCTTTGGACGCACGATTTAGCTCCCGCTGGAGCTGCACTGCCGGCAGCAGCAGGAGCTTGCTGCTGCTGCTGCTGCTTGTGCTGCTGCTGCTGCTGCTGCTGCTGCTGCTACGATGGACATCCAGCAGGTGTGCCTCAGCAGCGCCGTCAGCGGCTCTCTTGTCGCTTTGCTTTGCACGCCTTTTGATGTTGTGAAGAATTACTGGCAGTACACTTCCGTTGCTGCTGCTCCTGCTGCTGCTGCTGCTGCTCCTGCTGCTGCTGCTGCTGCTCCTGCTGCTGCTGCTGCTCCCGCTGCTGCTGCCGCTCCCGCTGCTGCCGCGTGGCGGTTCAACGCCGCAGCCGCGGCTGCAGCGCCCTGGCGGGAGCTGCGCGCCGCCGCCGCAGCGAGCAGCAGCAGCAGCAGCAGCAGCAGCGGGGCCCCCAGCAGCAGCAGCAGCAGCAGCAGCAGCAGCAGCAGCAGCAGGAGCAGCAGCGTGAAGGTGGCGGTGAGCCTGTACCGCGCGAAGGGGCCCCTGGTGTTCTGGAGAGGAGTGGGCCCCGCCATTTGCGTTTTAGTTCCTTCAAATATTATTTTTTTTTCTCTTTTCGAAAGAAGAGACCCCGAGGGTTCTGCTGCTGCTGCTGGCGTTGCTGCTCGCACTGCAGCAGTGGTCTGCACGGCCCCCGTGGAGCTGGTCCGCACGCAGCTGCAGGCCCGCTGCTGCGCCCCCCCCCCCTGCAGCAGCAGCAGCAGCAGCAGCAGCAGCAGCAGCAGCAGCAGCAGGAGGGGGCCCCGCAGCGCGGCGCTCGCGCTGCTGCAGCAAACCCTCAAGGCCGAGGGCCTCGGGGGCCTCTTCAAAGGAGTCCTTCCCACAGTAATTCGCGACGCGCCTTTTTCTGCTTTCTACTGGCCCCTCACTGCTGCCACTTCCGAGGCCCTCTCCCGCCTCTTCAGCAGCAGCAGCAGCAGCAGCAGCAGCAGCAGCAGCAGCAGCAGCAGCAGCACGGCGCAGGAGTTCAGGGACAGGGCCCTCATTCCCTTCCTCTCGGGGGCCTCTTCAGCAGCAGTTGCTTGCGTCCTCACCCACCCCTTCGACGTCCTCAAGACCCGCATCCAGTCCGCCCAAATGGGGCCCCCGGGGGGCCCCCCCCGGGGGCCCCCCGCCCCGGGGCGGCCCCCAGACCCCCCCGGGGGGCCCCCAGGGGGGCCCCCGGGGCCCGGGGCCCCGGGGGGGCCCCCAGGGCCTCTGGTGGGGCCTCCGAGCTGCTGCAGCAGAAGTCTACGGGGCCCAGGGGCTGCGGGGCTTCAGTGTGGGGCTGCTGCCGCGGCTGCTGAAGATTGTACCCTCTTGTGCTGTGCTGCTGGCCACTTACGAGGCCACGAAGGCCCTCTGGGGGTCTTCGCTGCTGGACCAGACCTGAGCTGCTGCTGCTGCTGCTGCTGCTGCTGCTGCTGCGGCGGCGGCGGCGGCGGCGGCGGCGGCGCGGTCCTGCTGCTGCTGCTGCTGCTGCAGCAGCAGCGGCAGGCATTTAGGGGCAGCTACGAGCTGCACACGCGGCGCGCTGCTGCAGCAGCGCAGCGCGCCGCGGCCAATACCTGCTGCTGCTGCTGCTGCTGCTGCGGCAGCGGCGAGCTGCAGCAGCAGCAGCAGCAACGGGCTGCTGCAGCAGCAGCAACGGGCTGCTGCAGCAGCAGCAATGTGCTCTTGACTCTTTACGTAGCGCGCCTTAGTCCTTTCTGTCAACGGCCAACGCCCAAGCTGCCTGGCTAGCTAGCCAGCTAGATAGCTAGCTAGCCAACAAGTTAGCTGGCTAGCTGGCTAGCTAGCTAGCTAGGTAGCCAGCCGATTAACTGGCCGGCTAGCTAGCTAGCTAGCTAGCTGGTTAGCCAAGCGGCTAGGTAGGCAGCTGCCTAGCTAGGTAGATAGGTAGCTAGCTAGCTAGCCAGCTAGCCATCCGACTAGCTAGCTGGCCACCAAGCTGGCCAGCCAGCTAGCTGAGACACAGCAGCTAGCTAGCTAGGTAGCTAGCTAGGTAGCTAGCTAGCTAGCTAGCCGCAGTCATGCACAGCCTACACAGCTAGCTGGCTAGCTAGGACCTAGCTAGTTAGCTGGCTAGGCCACTGGCCGCCTAGCTAGCCAACTAGGCCACTAGCCTCCCAGCTAGCCAAGCTTCTGGCTAGCTGGCTAGCTGGCTAGCTGGCTAGCTAGGCCATCAACCCTCCCCCCGCACCCCCCGACTAGCTAGCTGCTAGTTAGAAGGCTAGCTGGGCAATAGCTAGCTAACTGAGCGGCTAATGAATGGCTTAGCTAGCTACTTAGCTAGCTAGCTAGCTAGCCAGCTAGCCAGCTAGCTAGCTAGCTAGCTGGCTGTTGCAGCAAAGTGAAAGATTAAACACCTGAATGTAATAAAGTCGAGGCACTGCAGCCTCAAATCGACCCCCGGCCTGGCCCCGGCAAAGCAGCAGCAGCAGCACTGCTGCTGCTGCTGCAGCAGCTGCAGCAGCAGCACTGCTGCTGCTGCAGCAGCCAGGGACGCACACAGGAAAGCCGGCGTGGGTGCCTCTGTCGCTGCGCATTGGCTGTGACGCTGCAGCAGCAGCACCTGCAGCAGCAGCAGCTCTTGCTGCTGCTGCTGCTGCTGCTGCTGTTCTACCTTCGTACTTCCCTCTTCTACGGGGAGTTCGCCCACCCCAGCTGCTGCTGCTGCTGCTGCTGCTGCAGCATCTGCCGCAGGGCAAAGTCTTGGCGCCACCTGGCAGCATCTGCTGCTCCCCAGAGGCCCAGCGGCGGCAGCAGCAGCTGCTGCATGCGCTGCTGCTGCTGCCTCTCCCTGTCTTCTGCTGCAGCAGCAGCAGCAGCAGGCCCCACAGGGTCGTCGTACATCGTGGGCTGCGGCGCGGGCGCCTCCTTCTGCAGCAAGTCCCCGCTGCTGCTGCTGCTGCTGCTGCTGCTGCTGCTGCTGCTGCTGCTGCTGAGGGGGCCCCCCAGGGACAGCATGATGAGGGCCCCGTCGCTGAGGACCCTGGCAGCAGCAGCAAGGGCCTCTTCTGCTGCTGCATGCTCCGCAAGGCCTGCTGCTTCCAGCTGCTGCCTGCAGTAGCTCTCAACTGCAGCAGCAAACTCGCGGTGTGCTGCTGCTCTTGCTGCTCGCGGCTGCTCTGCTGCTGCCAGCAGCAAAGGCCTCCACTGCGAGGCCCACAGCAGCGGCACTTGGGCCATAATGCGGGCCACGAGGCCCTCGGGTCCGGGGCCCTCGAGTTCGGCTGGGGGGCCCCCCCGGGGGGCCCCCCCGCGGGTGGGGGGCCCCCCCTTGAAGGGGGGGCCCCCCTTGAAGGGGGCCCCCCGCGGGGACCCGGGGGGCCCCCGCCGCCGGGCCCCAGCCTGGGCTGCAGCGGGGGAGGCCCCCCGGCGCTGCTGCTGCTGCAGCTGCTGCAGCTGCTGCAGCTGCTGCTGCTGCTGCTGCTGCAGGCCGTCCACCCGCGCCACGGGCACTGGGCCCGACGAGGGCACTGCTGCTGCTTGCTGCAGCAGCAGCAGCAGCAGCAGCAAGGGCCCGGTCAGCCAGCAGCAGACCATATTGCCCGGCGAAGCTACTGCCGCGAGACTTCAAGTCCCCGGCCACGGCTCCGAAGCACCTGCTGCTGCTGCTGCTGCTGCTGCTGCTGCTGCTGCTGCTTCTTTTGCAGCAGCTGCGCTGTAGGAGCTGCAGCTGGGCAGCTGGTGCTGCTGCAGTTTCTGCAGCAAAGGGAGCCGATGGAAGGCTGTCTGTGTCTTACGTGGCTCGATGCAGAGCTGCTGCAGCTGCTGCAGCTGCTGCAGCAGCAGCAGCAGCTGCAGCAGCAGCAGCAGCTGCAGGGTTTGGAGCCAGTGGTTAGGGTGAGGGCGGTTTCTGCAGTTGAGCGCAGCAAGCAGCAGCGCGGGGGTTTTGAGTTCCTTTTGTCCTTCTGCGGGAGCGGGAGCACTCGCTGCAGCAGCAGCAGCAGGAGCAGCAGCAGCAGCAGGAGCAGCAGCAGCAGCAGCCGGGGAGAAGCGCGGTTTGGGGGACGCTGGAAAAGCTGCTGCGAGTCAAAGAGAAGCAAAAAAGGGAAGGAGTTGAGGGTTTATGAAGGGAGTTGATCTGCTGCTGCTGGAGCTGGGAGAGGAGGGTCGACGGGCGGTGGGTGGCGCAGGGCTGCTGCTGCTGCTGCTGCTGCTGCAGCAGCAGCTGCTGCTGCTTCGGGTGCTTCTGCGAGGGTTGCTGCTGCTGCGTTTGGGTCGGCGGCTGCTGCGCAGCTGCAAAACAAATTAATGGGAGGTTTGAAAGTTTAAAAAGGAAGAATTGGTGTCCCTTGGGAGTAGGGAGTGGAGAAGTTGGGGGAGTTTGGTCTGCTGCAGCAGCAGCAGCAGCGCACTAAGACTGCAGCAGCGGCTGCTGCAGCGGCGGCGCAGCGGCGGTGCGTCGGGGGCAGCAGCAGCAGACGTTGCGTTTGGAGTTTTTGTGTTTTATTTTTGAATAGGATTTAAAAAAGAGGGGCCTTTTGGGACTAATTGGTTGGTTGCAGCAGCAGCAGGGTCTGCAGCAGCAGCAGCAGCAGCAGCAGCAGTTGGGGAGTTGCTGGGGGCGTTCGATCGCGTGCGCAGCCGCAGCAGCTGCCGCCGCCTCCGCGGCCGCCGCCGCCGCAGCAGCAGCAGCTGGAGCCGCAGCAGCAGCAGCAGCAGCAGCCGCCGCAGCAGCCGCAGGGTCCGGCAGGTTATTCGGCTGTCTGCTCTAGGCCGCCTTGGCAGCGGCAGCAGCAGACCAGCAGCATCAGCAGCAGCAGCAGCAGCAGCAGCAGCACAGCAGCAGCAGCAGCAAACAGTGTGGCATTGAATTGGTTGGTTTGTCGCCAGCCAGCCTGCTGTGTTGCGGTCGCTAGCTGCTGCTGCTGCTGCAGCTGCTGCAGCGTGCGGCGCACAGACAACAACAGCAGCAGCAGCAGCAGCAGCAGCAGCAGCAGCAGCAGGAGGGGGAGGAGAGACGGGGAGAGCAGTTGCTGCCTTGTTGGGTGGGACCCTTCCCATGGGCACTCGCCACACACAATAGAACTCAATAGAAAACAATAGCAGCAGCAGCAACAATAGCAGCAGCAGCAGCAGCAGCAGCAGCAGCAGCAGCAGCAGGGGCGGGGAGGCTTGAGGATGGGTGCGTGCAAGAGCAAGTCCCGGGCGAAGCGCCCGGAGGAGCCTCCTCCTGCAGCAGCAGCAGCAGCAGCAGCAGCTGCTGCTTCCCTCAAGGAGGAGGAGGCCTCTCCCGCCCCCTCCTCTTCCGCAGCAGCAGCAGCAGAGCCCATCCCCGCCTCCTCCCCAGCAGCAGCAGCAGCAGCAGCAGCAGCAGCAGCAGCAGCAGGAGCCTCCCGCGGCAGCAGCAGCAACGGCTCCCCCGCTCCCTCGGCTGCAGCAGGCGCTGCAGCAGCGAGTTTGGCTCATGAGGAGCTGGTTCTTGGCCCATCCGAATCCTCCGCAGCAGCAGCAGCGCAGCAGCAGCAGCAGCAGCAGCAGCTGGTGGCGCGCCCCGCAATAACATTAGCAAATGGAGTGACTTACGCGGGCCAGTGGCTCGGCAGCCTCAAGCACGGCTACGGCGTGCAAGAGTGGCCCGACGGGGCCCGCTACGTGGGCGAGTGGGCCTTCGGCTGCGCCGAAGGCCACGGTGTCTTTACACATGCCGACGGGGACTTCTACGACGGGGAGTGGCGCGGAGACAAAGCTGAGGGGTTTGGAGTGTACAGACACTCGGACGGGAGCGAGTACAGGGGGGGGTGGAAGGCGGACAAGAAGCACGGCGTCGCTCGCGAGCGATGGGCGGACGGGTCGCACTTCGAGGGGACTTACAAGGAGGGCAAGAAGGAGGGAAAAGGGACTTTCACTTGGCCAGAAGGCTCCAGATATTGCGGAGACTTCAAGGGAAATGCCATAGAAGGCCAAGGCCGATATGTGTGGGCTGATGGGCGGAGTTACAGGGGGCAGTGGCGGGCCAACCGCATGCAAGGCTTTGGGGCTTTTACTTGGCCGGATGGGAGAAGGTATGTTGGGGAGTATTTTAATGACAAAAAAGAAGGATTTGGGACCTTTTTTTGGACAGATGGAAGGACTTTCGAGGGGAGGTGGAGGGGCGGGAAGCAGCACGGAGTCGGGAAGTTCACAGCCCGCAGCGGGGAGGCCAGGC